GCTTGTGCCTAAGCAACACTGATATATGCAAAAATCATAGTGGTAACAGAAATCTAAAAAATACAAAAACAATTACAAGCTATTGTTCAATAACTCAAGATTCTCTGAAGATGAAAATAATTACCAAAAATCCATCTTTATTTTCCTTATGCACTGATGCCTGTAGCATTTGGAGAAACTGGCCCAAAATTCTCCACTCATTTCTGCATGAAAACTTCAGCACTTCCCGCTCCCATGCCCAATTTTAGAGCCATTTTCCATTAATACGGATCACAGTTCAACTATTGCAATTAGTTTGCTGGCATGATAGCAACCCTAAAATTAACCTATTTTCAGAGACTAAAGGAAAGAAATTTCATTCTAAAGAACAAACTGACATCTGTAAGAGATTTGCAAGATATGTTTCTGTGGCTAAGATATGGGATAGTGAGAATGAGACTATGAGGAAGCCATGACAAAGATAATCCAGCTGCAGAAGTATCTATCCTATATAATAAAAGCCTAGGTGGCATCACACCCTTGCACGATGCCCTCGTGCGACGCCCTCACATGATGTCATCACAAGATGTCCACCACAAGATGCCCACTACAACATGGCTGGCAGGGGAGGGCAGTTGTGGGCGAGATCAGGCCAGCAGGGTAGGGCAGTTGGGGGTGACCAGACCGTCAGGGGAGGGCAGTTGGGGGCAACCAGGTCGGCAGGGGAGAGGGCAGTTGGGTGCGATCAGGCTGGCAGGGGAGGGCAATTGAGGGCAATTGGGCCAGCATGGGAGGGCAGTTGGGAGCGATCAGGCTGGCAGGGGAGGGCTGTTGAGGGCAATTGGGCCAGCATGGGAGGGCAGTTGGGGGCGATCAGGCTGGCAGGGGAGGGCAGTTGGGGGCAAAATCAGGCCAGCAGGGGAGCGTTTAGGGGGCAATCAGGGTGGCAGGCAGGCAAGGAGTTAGGAGCCAGCAGTCCCGGATTGTGAGAGGGATGCCCGACTACCAGCAGTCGCACATCCCCCAAGGCGTCCCAGGTTGGAGAGGGAGCAGGCCGGGCTGAGGGACACCCCCCCTCCCATGCACAAATTTCGTGCACTGAGCTTCTAGTCCTATCTAATAAAAGAGAAACATGGTAATTAGCATACGACCGCTACCCTTCCCATTGGCTAATCAGGGCGATATGCAAATTAACTGCCAGCCAAGATGGCTGCCGCCAGCCAAGATGGCTGCCGGCAGCCAGGCAGCTTAAAGCGAACATGAGGCTTGCTTGCTTCAGTGACGGACTCCAACGTTCCCCGCCTGCCACTGCCTGCCTCTGAGCTCTTGAAGCAGCAGCTCCAAAAGATACAATGTTTCAATTATAGAAGCTAAAAGATGGCGGTTAATTTGCATATACTAGCTGTGAGCTAAGACTGATGACAACATGGAGGTCAAGCGGTACAGAAGGGAGCCAAGTAGAGGTTGCGAGGACAGAAATGGAGCCGCAGCCGCTGTGAGCGGGAGGGGCAGTGGCTTGGAGGGGAAAGGGCAGCAGCTGGGAGTGGGGAGGGAAATCCCAGCCACAGCGTCTGGGAGAGGGAGGGCAATCCAAGCCCCAGCAACTGGGAGTGGGAGGGCAAGCCCAGCCACAGGGGATGGGGGCAGAAGGGCAAGCCCAGCCCCAGTGACTGGGATCCGGAGGGCAAACCCAGCCCCAGCCACTGGGATCGGGTGGGCAAGCCCAGCCCCAGCAGATGGGAGCGGGAGGGCAAGCCCAGCCCTAGCCACTGGGATCAGAAGGGCAAGCCCAACCACTGTGGCTGGGAGCATAAAGGGCACCGGCTGGGAGTGGGAGGGCAAGCCCAGCCCCAGCGGATGGGAGTGGGAGGGCAAGCCCAGCCCCAGTGGATGGGAGCGGGAGGACAAGCCCAGCTCCAGTGGATGGCAGCGAGAGGGCAAGCCCAGCCCAAGCCACTGGGATTGGAAGGGCAAGCCCAGCCACAGGGGATGGGTGCGGGAGGGCAAGCCCAGCCCCAGGGACTGGGATCGGGAGGACAAGCCCAATCACTGTGGCTTGGGAGCATAAGGGCCAGGGCTTGGAGCAAGAGGGCAAGACCAGCTGCAGGGGCTTGAAGCCGGAGCGAAGCCCGCCTCAGCGAGTTTTGCTCCCTTCTCTGCTTTGCTCCAGCCACAGGAAGCCCTATTCTTGCAGGAATATTCCTGCAATGGGCCTCTAGTATATATATAAAGAAGAAATATGGAAAATTAGGCCAGGACGCCATAACGGGTCACGACCGGACAGGAGGAGGTTGTCCGCGCAGGTGAGGCCTGGAGCAGAAACGGGGGGCCAGTGAGCCACTGTACCTTGGTTCGGGTCGGCCCCCGGAGCTAGAGCGGACACAGACACTGACAGGGGGGCCAGTCCACAGCCTCCGTGGCTGAGTGCAGGCCTGGACAGGAGACGGTGGGCCTGCCTCCCGCGGAAGCAGCATGGCTCCCCCTCCCGCCTCCCAGGGAATCGGCGCGGTTCCCTCCGGGCTCCCATGGATGCCAGCAGCTCACTTCCGCCTCCTGCAGAAGCCGCACAGCTCCCGTGGAAGCAGCGCAGCTCCCGGCGGTGCACTGTGGTTCCCGCCGGCTCCAGCAGAAGCAGCGGGCAGCCTACTGCATGCGCTATCACATGATGGGCTACTTGTATATATATAAAATCACTAAAGACTCAAAGGAAAGGGGAAGGTAAGAACCAAACACACATTAAATTCTCTTGGACTATTCATTTTCAATAAAGTATTAGGCTCAGTTTCCATAACCATACTAAACCCTACAATGATGCCCAATTTACAGAATGAAATAAACTTAATTGTAGACCAGACTTTAGTCTCAACTTTCTTAAGGGCTATGAACTTTGGCTATGTCTACTTAAATGAAAGTACTCGAGCTACCTGAAAACCAGAAATACAGAGCAAGACAAGAGTTTTCAAAGATGAAATATTAGTTAATAGCAGCATAGGTAAATGCCACCTCCCACAACCACATCAAAATTACATTTACAATACTGAACAACCAGCATTCAGAACTGCCTGAAAGCTGGCTGAATGGAAGTCCTACAACTAGAGAAGAAGAAAGCACATTGAGACTGGTAGGAGGAGAAGAGGCATGGAACGGGCTGGGCTGGCACCCAGGTGTGCTGTTTTTTAAATCTGGAGATTGTCTCGGCAGAGGCTGCCTACGAGGAGCAAAGGGGCCCAGCCCCACAACAGACCCTCAGCCCAGGGTTCCAGAGCTGGGAAGAAAAGTCTCCCTAACTACAGGCAGTAAAAAGCAGTAGGGATGATAGCTAAGTGATACTGAGGCTGCTGGAGACCTAACTGTTCCTTTTAAAGGGCCAGCACACAAACTTACTCGGCCTCGATACCTCTAAGCTCCAGCACTGGGTGGCTTTTGGGGACCCAGACACATATCTGGAGGAACTGGACTGTCTGACATCAGGGCAGGAACTCGGGGTGGCTTTCTCCCAGACAAGAGTGCTAGCAGGGATCACTGTTCTTATGCTGAAATCTCCCCTATCATAGAGCTGATGGACAGAGGCTATATCTGACTCTTCATCAGCCTGGCTAACACTGTTTGCTCCACCCTGGTGATTCCTTGAGATCCCGCCCTATCCAATTTGCAGTCCCACCCAAGCTCTTTGCAGCAGCTTTTCCATAAGAATGGCCTTTCCTGGCTCAGACTTCAGACTTTGCTAAAATCTCTCAAACTGCAGCTGGTGTCAGCGTGCCCCATACCTATCAATAAAAGGCCCAAGACCCAGCAATAGCACCAGCCTGCCTTGCTTCACAGCTGGGCCTCATCTGGGCACTTTCAAGCATAATACAAATAGCAGCCATCTGCAGATCTCTCTGTAGCTCCTGCCAGGTAGCCCCAGACAGTGGCTGACTTTGCACCTCCCTGGAGGCACCAGAGCCAGTGCACCCAGTGAACAGTTTCAGATCATAATAGATTACAAATCCACACATCCACAAGAGACACACTCAAGAGGCAGATTCAGTGAGCACCAAAGCCCCACAAGGTGTTTCCTACATAGCAGCTCTCCCACTGTAGTCACAGCTGGTCCTCACAGCCAATTGGCCTAGAGATCAATTCCTCCCAGTGACACCAACAGCAATAAAGGCTCAACTACAAGACTGTGTACACAGAAGTACACCTAGAATGCCCAGCCCAGGTGACTGGGGAGGCTGAGCCACTGGGCCTTACAGGACACCTAATACACAAGGCCACTCTATCAATTCCAGGAGACATAACAACTCTACCTATACACAGAAACAAACAGGGAATCAACCAAAATGCAGAGACAAAAAAACATGTCACAAATGAAAGAAATGGAAGCAAGCAAACTACTAGATACAGAGTTCAAAACCATGGTTATAAGGTTACTCAAAGATTTTCATGAGACCTTAAGGGACTTAGTGAGAATTTCAAGGATCCTAGTGAGAATGTCAAAGACATGAAAAAGGACCAGTCAGAAATTAAGCACACACTAACTGAAATAAAGAATAATTTACAGCCCTGGATGGTTTGGCTAAGTCGATAAAGTGTCAGCTTACAGACTGAAGGGTCCTGGGTTCGATTCCAGTCAAAAGCACATGCCCAGGTTGCAGGCTCAATGCCCAGTGGAGGGTGTGCAGGAGGCAGCCGATCAATGATTCTGTCTCATCTTTGATGTTTCTATCTCTCTCTCCCTCTCCCTTTCTCTCTGAAATCAACAAAAATACATTTAAAAATATAATTTACAGGGTTTCAACAGTAGATGATTCCAAGAATCAAATCGATTTGGAATATGAGGAAGTAAAAAACACCCAGTTAGAATAGAAAAAGGAAAAAAGAATCCAAAAATATGAAGATAGTATAAGGAGCCTCTGGGACTTCAAGCTTACCAACATTCACATTATGGAGGTGGCAGAAGGAGAAGAGAGAGAGCAAAATATTGAAAACCTACCTGAAGAAATGACAGAAAACTTCCCCTACCTGGTGAAAGAAATAGACTTACAAGTCCAAAAAGCAGAGTCCCAAACAAGAGGAACCCAAAGAGGCCCACACCAAGACACATCATAATTAAAATGCCAAGGATTAAAAACAAAGAGAGAATCTTAAAAGCAGCAAGAGAAAAACAGTTAGATACCTACAAGGGAGTGCCCATACGACTGTCAGCTGATTTCTCAACAGAAACTTTGCAGGCAAGAAATATTCACAGTGATGAACAGCAAGGACCTACAACCAAGATTACTCTACCCAGCAAAGCTATCATTTAGAATTGAAGATCAGATAAAGAGCTTCATAAACAAGAAAAAGCTAACAGAATTCATCACCACCAAACCAGTATTATATGAAATGTTGAAGGGTATTCTTTCAGAAGTGGAAGAAGAAGAAGATAAAAAATATGAACAATAAAATAGCAATAAATACATATCTATTAACAACTGAATTTAAAAATCAAGATAAAAGGACAAGAAATATAATGAACAAAAGAAACTGGTGAATAAAATAAAATCAGAGGCATGGAAACATGGAACACACTGACAAATCTCAGAGGAAAGTGAGGAGGGAGGTGGGAAGAGATTAACCAAAGATCTTACCTATGGACACAGAAAATAGGGTGGTGAAGGTCTGGAGAGGGACAGGGCAGGAACCGGGAGGAGGGGTGGCAATGGGGGTGGGGGGAGGGGAATATCTGTAATACTCTCAACAATAAAGACTTAAAAAGCCTAAAAAAAAACTATCCCCAGAAAAGCACAAGAAAAATCATACAAAGCAGATTACCTATCCTAACAGAAAGAGAGTCGAAGCTTAAGGCAGCACAAGGGAAATTTGCACTAATATCAAAAAGCTCCAGGTCCTATCTCAATAATGCTTATTATTAAAGGTGTTCTCAACTGGACAGAGGATTTTACTTAAATAAGTTTAAAATCCAGCCAAGCAGAATAATACACCACTTGTAAAAATTCAAACTTAACTACTGGTTTACAATAAACACCCTAACACCCTTATAATTTCAGAGCTCATCTTTCAATTCAAATACCAAACCACCATGAAAAGCATATAGACTGAATCTAACTTAAATCCTATCCTATATAATAAAATCCTAATATGCTAAGTGTCTGGCTGTTCATTCGAACATTTGACCAGTTGCTATGATGCACACTGACCACCAGGGGACAGAAGCTCCAACCAGTAGGTTAGCTTGCTGCTGGGGTCTGGCCAATTGGGACTGGGAGAGATGGGCCAGACACACCCTGGAGTCCTCCTGTGGTCCCTCCCCGACCCTGATGGCGCACCAGTGGAGTCCCTCAGCCTGGCCTGCACCCTCTCGCAATCCAGAACCCCTTGCGGGATGTCAGAGAGCTGGTTTTGGCCCGATCCCTGCAGGCCAGGCCAAGGGACCCCACCGGTGCACGGTCCTCTAGTTCTCTAATAAACAACCTGACCAGTGTTGCTCAGTGGTTAAGTGTCAACCTATGAACCAGGAAGTCATGGTCTGATTCCCGATCAGGGCATATGTCCAGGTTGCAGGCCTCATCCCCAATGTGGGGTGTGCAGGAGGCAGCCAATCAATGATTCTCTCTCATCACTGATGTTTCTATCTCTCCCACCCCCTTTCTCTATGAAATCTATATTTTTTTTAATTCTCTAATAAGTGAAACAGATGCCCAGCCAGGGTGGCTCAGTGGTTGAGCATAGGCCCATAAACCATGAGGTCACAGTGTGATTCCTGGTCAGGGCACATGCCTGGGTTGTGGGCTAGAACCCCAGTAGGGGCCATGCAGAAGGCAGCAGATCAATGATTCTTTCTCATTATTGATGTTTCTATCTCTCTCTCCCTCTCCCTTCCTCTCTCTGAAATCAATAAAAACATATTTTTAAAAAAGAGTAAAACAGAATAATCACATAAAGTTTAGGAAAAAATCTAGTTAACGTATTCTAAAACCAGTAAACACATGAAAATTGGCATCAAGTGAACATTAGAGCTATGCAGTCTCAATTTAATATAATTAAATTCTCAATTTAAAAATATAATTTCTAAACATAACCACAAACAAAAGAAAATGCTTTGATATGCTATATTGGGAGAAAAATATTCCTGGTCAAATTATTTTTTATAGTACCCTTTTAAATTAACTATATCTTGATTTCATTACAATGCCAGGGTTTTGTTGTGTGTGTGTGTGTGTGTGTGTGTGTTTGCCCTCCCATCTTACATAACATTTTTTGCTTTACTCACAACCAGACAAAAAGATTAAAATATCTTTATTTGTCTAGCAACAATGACTTACCAACATTACCTTAAATCATTTCATTTTTGAAATGCAAATTATACACTTCAAAGATGTTTGTATCAAATGCAAAAGAAATAGGCAACAATTATTACATTAAAAAGCATATACATACTTACACTAATGTCATTAAAAACATTAGATGCCTGTTCATGCTTTAGGTTCCCTTTAATGACATGGTATGATAATTCATAGAGAACTTGCTGGAAATCTGTTGACCATAAAAGAAAGAATGTAAGTACACAGAATGTAAGAAAAGCAGAATCTCTGGGGAAGACCTATATTATTTCCTACTTTTCAGATTTATCATAAACATCAACAATAAGAAAAAGTATACTTCTAATGCTTTAGCACATTTTTAACTTTTATTTTCACAAAAACACAATACTAAAAGAGTAGGAAAAAGTTAATGTTGGCTCCATTACTATAACATAATTACTGCTTGATAATTTCCTTCCAATATGTCTATATATTTTACATATTTGCATTTACAGTGCTCATCATTTCGTATTGATATCCCCCCACTTTTAAAAGCATTTTCTCAAAATCCAAAGCCTCTAAAATTACTTTCATTTGCAGTGACTTCACAGAATGCCAGAAAGTGTATATAAACTAAATTAACCATTCCTCTCAGAAGCAAATTTCACAGATTTTTAAAAAACACTGGGTATATCTGCTACTAATGGCGGATTTTGTAATCAAAGAAAACACAATAATTTCAAAAGAAACATCAAAAGTGCTTTATTCAAAGTAATGTCCATTACTAGCTACACATTTCCCCCATCTTTCAGGTAATTTGTGAATATCATCCCAATAGAACTTTTCTTGTTTTGAGGCAAACCATTCAGAAACCCAATTTTCCACTTCTTCCTACGTTTTGAAGGGCTGCTCAGAAAGTGCATGTGCCATTGATCAGAACAGGTGATAATCTGAAGGAGCAAGGCCTGATGAATACAGGGGGTGGGTTCACCCTTCCCAGAAAGACCTTTCAACGTGTCTTTAACTGGTTTTGAAGTGTGTGATGGTGCATCATCATGAAGCAAAATTACTTTGCCGTGTCTTCTGGCCCATTCTGGTCGTTTCATGATCAAAGAGTGGTTCAAACTGATTATTTGTTGTCGATAGCGATCAGTATTAATGGTTTCACCTGGTTTTAGAAGCTCATAATACACCACACCTTCCTGACCCCACCAAACGCAGAGCATTGTCTTCTTTCCGAAGCAATTAGGCCTTGTGTTGGTGTTGATGGTTAACCTGGATCAACCCATGATTTTGTGCATTTGGGATTCTCAAAATAAATCCACTTTTCATCGCCAGTCACAATTCCATGGACTTTCGTGCTGTTGAAGCAACAGCTTACTGATGACTTTTCAGTTTTCCACTTGTCTTTCGTTCAGTTGATGTGGCACCCATTTTCCTTCCTTTAAAATCTTTCCCATTGCTTGTAAACAATTGGAAATTGTTTGCTGAGAAAAGTTTAATCTTTCTGAAAGTTGTTTTTCTGTTTGACACACATCTTCAACCAATAATGCTTGTAATTGTTGGTCTTCAAACTTTTTTGGTTGACCTGGACGTTCTTTGTCTTTCACATCAAAATCATCACTTTTAAAACGTTTAAACCAGTGTTCACAAGTATCTTGAGATGGAGCATGTTCACCATAAGCTTCCCGAAGTATACGATAACTTTCAGCAGCACTTTACTTCAAAATAAAGTAATGAGCCCTAACCGGTTTGGCTCAGTGGATAGAGCGTCAGCCTGCGGACTCAAGGGTCCCGGGTTCGATTCCGGTCAAGGGCATGTGCCTTGGTTGCAGACACATCCCCAGTGGGGAGTGTGCAGGAGGCAGCTGATCGATGTTTCTCTCTGTTTCTCTCTCATCGATGTTTCTAACTTTCTATCCCTCTCCCTTCCTCTCTGTAAAAAAAATCAATAAAATCTATTAAAAAAAATAAATAAGTAAAAAAAAAAGTAATGAATTAAAACTTCCCACAAATGCTCTTTTTTTGGCATGAAATTCGACATTTTTTTTAAAATATATTTTATTGGTTTTTTACAGAGAGGAAGGGAGAGGAATAAAGAGTTAGAAACATCGATGAGAGAGAAACATCGATCAGCTGCCTCCTGCACACTCCCTACTGGGGATGTGCCCGCAACCAAGGTACATGCCCTTGACCGGAATCGAACCTGGGACCCGAGTCCGCAGGCTGACGCTCTATCCACTGAGCCAAACCGGTTAGGGCAAAATTTGACATTTTTAAGAGTAAAAATATCTATGATGTCAACACCTTCAGCAAATTTGACATATGAAGTTTTGAAGCTTGTTGTCAATACAACAAAATAGCATACATCTCAAATCGCATATATATTAACATATGTGTAACTCCATTTATTGAAAAAAATCCGCATTATGAACTGGTTCACCTAGTATATTCAAATTATTGTCAATTCAATCTCAGGACTGCACTGACAACAGGTAAGGAACAGCAGTAAATATAAAATTGAGTTTTATCCATGCCCTACTATCAGAAATTTCTCCCCAAACCTAAATCTCTTTTTCCTATTTCCATCAGAATTTAAACTAAAATAATTGCATACGTACATACATACATAAAACAGCAGTTCTATGATAGCTGTCAACCACAAGAAGTCTCACTCACTAGTAATTAGCATAGCCCCCTTTCCCAAAGAAAAACATTTGGGGGGGGGGGAGTTAATGGGCAAGTGAATACTTCCTCCTTCCAGCTATCTTTTTTTTCTTGAGTCCCATATACTAAAAATTTTTATTTCCTTCCTCTCATTAAAAGCAGGGAAACCAGGAGCTCTAAAAATATTAATGTAAAACAAAGTCAATTTATAATCTCCTTTTGAAGGGAATCAAAACTCTTTCGAGGCAAAATTGCAAGGAAAAAAATCAAATATTTAGCCCTGGCCAGTTTTACTCAGCGGTTAGAATGTCAGCCTGCACATCAAAGGGCCATGAGTTCGATTCCCATCAAGGGCACATACGTCAGTTGCAGGCTAGATCCCCAGTCAGTTGCATGTGGGAGGCAACAAATCAATGTGTCTCTTTCACATCGATGTTTCTCTCTCCCTCTCACTACCCGCCCACCCCCTTCTACTCTATCTAAAAGCAACAAAAATATCCTCAGTTAAGAATTTAAAAAAATAATAATCAAATATTTAAAAAGCTTCTCCTTTGGTCTGACTACTGGTCACAAAAAAGGAATATAATAGAAATAAAAACTTTTATCAAGCCCCTTTAAACAATGAAAATATTATTTTACAATGAAATAAAACTGCACATTGAGTTGTTAAAGAAATATAACCAGATTATCCTAATTCCTTGTGAAGACATATTTAAATATATTTACCTTTTATTAAACATATTTACTTTTTATTATATATAGTCTACCTTTTGCACAAATATGGTTTCATTGTGCTTATAATAAACTATAAAAACTAAAATGCAAAGAAAAATTTTCTATTTATTAGTATGGTAGGATTATGGGGTCAATTTCAGCTTTCACTTTCTACTAATAAAATGTTTTCACAACAAATAATACTCATTTAAAGTTACCTAGATAGTTAAATTATTTTTAAAAAGCAATCACTCTTACAAGGACAAAACAGCTGAGCATACACCAAATTCCCATAAGAATATGGGCTCATGGGGCTGAGGGAGTTCTAATCTAAATCACAGAAGATTAAAATAGAAAGCAAATAGCTCAGGTCATTTTTCTGATATTAAGTTACATAAAAACAATCACAATGTAATCCAAAAGTAGCAAAAAATGGTCCCCAATTCACAAGTTATTTAAATGCCCATTTAAGTGGTTAGGAACTCCTATTGTATTTTATCTATAGAAACAGTAAGTGGTGCCTTAATACTACCAGGTTAGCCCCAACAAAGTCCTGCAAAACCTACACTAAAGTTGAAAAACTACATTTACAATGGGGAGGAAAACTTACAACTCTTACACTAAAAATAATAAGTAAAAGACTTAAGAATAGCCACAAGTAAAAGGGACTTATATTAGATGTTAACTGTGGGATCTGTACATTGAAGACACCAGTTCTTGGTTATGTGGAGTATCACTAGAACTAGTCATGTTTATCAGCCATCATTATAACGTTATTTTACTGGGGGAAGGGACTTATAAAAAGAACAAGGTGAAGTAGTGTGTGCAAGGGAAACTGCCTGCCTGAAATGAAATCATTCAAGGGAGGGGCAGAAGGGGAAAGGGCAGAGGAAAACACTACACTCACTCAATCCCCTCAGATCAGCAGTTCTCAACCTGTGGGACGCCTAAGACCATCGGAAAACACATATATAATTACATATTGTTTTTGTGATTAATCACTATGCTTTAATTATGTTCAATCTGTAACAATGAAATTGGGGGTCACCACAACATGAGGAACTATATTAAAGGGTCGCCGCATTAGGAAGGTTGAGAACCACTGCCTTAGATAGAACAAAAGAAATTCTAAAGAAATTACAGTTTCCTGCATGGACTACCTACTGGGGCACTCAAACCAAAGCTTGATTGTTGGCATATAGCAGCCAAAGAGTGTGTATGTGTTAAGAAAGCAGGCAATGGCAAGCGAAAGAAGCACCAGCAAATTAAGCCAATGAGATGCTCATAACTGTTTCTGGTTTTAATCGTGAATCAGAACAGCCATGCAAATTAACAATATCTGTGTGTGTGTGTGTTTTAATATGTCTTTATTGACCTTTTTAGTAAGAGGAGGGGGGGGAGGATAGAGATATAAAAACATGGATGAGAGGAAAACATCATCCATCCGTTGCCTCCTGCACTCCCCCTGCTAGGGATGGAGCCCGTAAACAGGGCATGTGCCCTGACCCAGAATCAAACCAGTGACCTCTTGGTTCAGGGGTCAACACTCAACCACTAAGCGACACAGGCCAGGTACTGACAGTTATTAAAGATCCACACAGCCCCCATTTAAAACTAAAAGAGTAGAGTCTGCTCTGCACTCAGAACGGCCACCATGGCTGCTTACAAGCTGGTGCTGATTCGGCATGGCGAGAGCGCGTGGAACCTGGAGAACCACTTCAGCGGCTGGTACAACACAGACCTGAGCCCGGCTGCTGCGAGATGCCGGCTATGAGTTTGACATCTGCTTCACCTCAGTGCAGAAGAGAGCAATTTGGACCTTCTGGACGGTGCTGGATGCCATTGACCAAA